GCCGGTTGAGCTATAGGCGCCGAGCCAGGAAACCAGATTTACTGACTCAAATTTTGTGGTTTTCTCTCCCCAGGGCTTACTCTTTCTCTATGAATCAACCCTACAAAGTAGGGATAGAACAGAAAAGAGAAAGGGAAGAGGAAGAGGAAGGGGAAGGGTGATTTTTGGATTTATGCCATCCTTCTTATCCTCATCTAAGTTTTTCGGAAATTCCTTTTATATCTAAGAAAAACCACATACACTTAAAAAACCCAACCCAACAGCTTGCAAGTAGCCTGGGATTCCAGAATAAATACTGAAATTGGCAGGACACATAGTATCCTTCCTTTCAGTGGGTCACGTGAGGACATTGCCTAACATCCATATGTGTGTCTAGAAATATATAATATTTATGTCTCAGCAAACCTTTAGATTCCTCTTTCTTATGCCAAAAGAACAGCTATGTCCTACCTTCTGATCTAATCTAAAATTCTCGTTAAAATCTGGACCTAAAGACCTATAAATTCTTTTAAACCGAGGAGGCTAAAGTATCCTCCCAGCTTCTTAAGAGAACAGCTCAGATGAAATCATGCCAAATGCTGAGTAAATAGGAGGGGTTTTTTAGTGGAAACCATAATGCTATGCTGTGGCCACATTTTCACAATACTTTGGGGTGGGAGGGACTAGTATCCCCACCCTGGATAGGCTAGGCAGCTATTTAACATTTTGTTCAGGGAAACACAGTCCAGATTCAAGAGTCAAGACCAAGTCATGAGACTCACTGGAGTCAAACTCTGGCACTAGCCTCATCTGCTTTTAGATAGCTGTGGCTTTACCCTAACAAAACCACCTAGAACATGATTACATGGAAAAAACAAAACAAAATCTAGAAATCTATACAATTTCAGCATATGACATCTCAGGAAACTGATCCTTAAAATCATTCAATATCTGATGCTTGTTCCCAAGAACAATTAAAGGTAGCTTTCACCACCAAGAGGTAATGATGTAGTAAAATTCATTACTCATTTTATAACCAAATACCAAATTGAAAACAGCTGTTTTTTACTGATACAGGATGACATTCAAGACCTAATTTCATTGGAGAGGTAGGCAGCACAATAGTTTTTGTAGAAAAAGTATCCATCAAGCTGGGTTTGGTGGCTCACACCTATAATCTTAGCACTTTGGGAGGCTCAGGTGGGAGGACAACTTGAGGCCAGGAGTTTGAAACCAGCCTGGACAATGCAGTGAGAGCCTGTCTCTACGAAAAATTTTAGAAATTAGACCACATAACTGTGGTCCTAGCTACTCAGGATGCTGGGGTGTGAGGATCACCTGAACCTAGAAGTGTGAGTCTGCAGTGAGCTATGATCATGCTACTGTACTCTAGCCTGGGCAACAGAGCCAGACTCAGTCTCTAAAAAGACAAAAATATTATTATATCCAAGTCAGGCTGAGAGAAGGACAAACTAGCTGCAGAGAAGGACATTTAACCTTGCCTTAGGGAACTTAAAAGAGAGAGAATCTGAGAAGTCACTTAAAGACTCACCTTGCCAGCAAGATCCCCTGGTATTCTTCCAGTTGTCTCATGAAGCTGGGGTTGGGCTTGGTCACTGTTCTCCTTTCCTTCACATAGTCATAGGCTCGATCCAGATTCCAGCCATATTCCTTCATTGCATAGGCAATCACAGTGGAGGCTGAGCGACTCACCCCCATCTTGCAGTGCACAAGGCATTTAGATCCATGTTTCCTAATATGAGGGATTGAGGTAAAGAATAAAAGAAAACACAATAGTGCGTATATTTTAAAAGCTTGGTTCTAGAGTTTTCCAAGTCTCCTGTCCTGCTTTTAGAATTTTCTCACTATGCAACCTCCTCACCTTAGTAGACTTATATACATCTATAATTAAATGTATGGGTAGGGTAGATAGCTCTAGTGTATTCTTAAACAATATTCAATGTTAACATTATGCCTCTTTAATTCATCCAGCAAACATGGGTAACCCAATGTGCAAGGTGCTAGGATGAGAAGGTAAGTAATATATAGCTGTACTCTTAAAAAGATGAGATTCAGGGCAGCACCTCTGGCTCAAAGGAGTAGGGCGCCAACCCCATATGCTGGAGGTGGCGGGTTCAAACCCAACCCCGGACAAAAACTGCAAAAAAACCAAAAAAAGACAAAAAATAAAACGATGGGATTCAATGGGAGGGACAGACAATTAAAATTCAATATGGTTGGTCAGAGTATAGAGGGACCACTCTAATTTTAGACAGAAGCCCATTTTGTGCATGGTCAGTCCCTCATTGGCCAAAGGGGATGTTTCCTGCCTTGTACTCTTTGTGAGTTACAGGTATGGCAATGATTCATCTCATTTATTCAAATGTTATGAGTTTTTTCCAATTTAAATTTCAGTAAGGGTTTTGTCCCTGGAGAACTACCTGTTTTTGTTTTTAATAGGGTGAAAGAAAGAGAAAATAAAGCTAAAGTTATACAAACAAAACAAAACAGTATCAGAACTTATTACCTTGGATATGAACATTATTCAGTTATACTAACTCTGCTAATAACACAGTATCTGGCATATAGTTAGCCTTCAAATATTTACTAAATGTATGAACTTATGGATCTGCTGATTAAAGCTGTCAGCAGTTTAAGTAGGAACGACATTTTAAAATCTTGAAAAAAGAACTGTTATTCTCACTAGTGTATACAGGCATGGAATCATTCCCAAGTGGCTATTTCAAAACATCAAAATATGTACATGTCTGTATTCATTTCCTCATTCACTGAATGATGATAGACAAGCTTCCTTCCCGAAGCTTGTAAGTCTGCTTCTGGAAGCAGAGACACCTGACAGAGTTAAGCATCAATGCAAGGAGGTCTGAAGTTCAATGCCAAAATAAAAGAGCCAGATAAGCTACAGAACATAAAGAATGGTCTGGAATAACTGAAATGGTCTTAATGGGAAGGTAAGATTAACCTCCTACTTACAAATTAGGTGTAAAATTTTGATGTCCAAAGGCTGGTTTGGGTGTGTGTCTCTGTGCTTAGATTATCCCAAATGACTAGGAAACACCTGCTTTATTTAGGGCACCACAGAGTTTTCATATAGACTAAAGTTAGGAAGCCAATGCAGTGACTCAGATGGATGTTTAGACATGTGCTCTATATTTTCCCATCAAGCTCTGACAAATTTAATGCCTCAAATTTCAAGTCTATGCTTGTAGGCATGGAAGATGCTCAAATTTGGACAATTCTAAGTAAAATATAATTATGGAATCCACTCCCATGAAAACATACATGTTTTCAACTCAAGAGTTTTTGGTGGATGGCTTTTAACACATATAATGAAGGATCTGAAGTCAGTTCTCAGTTAACTCAACTCCACCCTCAATTCCAGCTCCTATCCCCATGTTAGATCATCCAGATTAAGCCTGGCATGGCAGTAAGAAGTGGGGTCTTCATTAGGGTGAGACACAGGAGCATTCAAGGAGGCACTCACTGCCAGGTACTGACCTGAGATTGAACCTGAGATTGAATGCCTCTAGTTATGCTCTGGATGCCTCATGTGTCACTCCCTAATCTCAGCTGTAATTAGCTTTTCTTTTCATTGGGACCAGGGCCTTTGAATTCTAGCCTGTTTGGCTAAGACCCTGACAAACTGCTAGTTTTTTTTTAGTCCCTCTTCCATAAGGAACTAGATTATTCCTATACACTTGGTGGGCTCTGAAATGAGATGTGATCTTGGTTCAAGTCCTATCTTCACTTTATTTCATCTCTCTGAATCGCATCTTTACAGTCTATTCTCATCTCTATAAGAAAATGACAGTATTGGGTGGTGCCTGTGGGTCAGTGAGTAGGGCATTGGCCTCATATATTGAGGGTGGCGGGTTCAAACCTGGCCCAGGCCAAACTGCAACAACAACAAAAAAATAGCCAGGTGTTGTGGCAGGTGCCTGTACTCCAGCTACTTAGGAGGCTGAGACAAGAGAATCGCCTAAGACCAAGAGCTGGAGGTTGCTGGAGTGAGGCCACATCACTCTATAGAGGATGACAAAGTGAGACTCTGTCTCTTAAAAAAAAAAAAAAAAAAAAGAAAGAAAATGACAGTATCTGTCTCCCTGGGTTTAGAAAACATGAGAATACCTATAAAGCATCTGGCACATAGTAAGTATCCCATGAATAGTATTATTACTGGGAATAATTTCTTAACAGGCTTGAAGAATATAAAATAGTCTTTTAGGGGCTGCCTAGAGACTAAAGAAATAGGCTGAAAGCTAGAGTTTAAGGATTCAAGGTAACTAAGACAAAAGAATTTCCTGACCCATGAGGGTCCTTAAGAAAGGTGTAGAATCATTCTTGAAGAAGGACTTTCAAAAACAGAAGCATTTCTCATCTGTCAGGGATGGTTTGAATGTAGTCTTACTGTAAGGGGGACATGGTCAACAAGCTCATTTTTGGTTCCTTCTAGTGAAGGAATAAATAGGATCAGCAAGAAAATTCCCAGGGACTTAAAAAAAATGCAATGTTGACATAGTGACACTAAACACTAAATTAACAGTAAATAGTTTCACTAAAACAGCTGATTAGTGTAATTTACTTTGGCTCTTCTCTTGAAGGGTCACTTAGACTATCATAAAAATAAAGTAAAAGAATGGGAAAAGAATTTTATTCAGAATTTCTTCCTTCTCTCAATTTCTATTTCTTTTGCTGCAATGTAAGTCGTTCTCTTTAATTTTGTGCTCAGTGGAAATAGCCAATATGAGGTCATCATCTTAGAGGCTTCATTTACTTAATAGGAAAGTAAGTATTAAGTCACTATTCTTTTGTCTAGGACTAAAAAAAAACTCAGTCCCCTTCCTTTTTTACTTTCTTTTCCCTGAACACCATCAGTAAGTTATGTACAACCCTCAGATGTTAGGCATGTATAGTTCAAGAGGAACAAGGGTCAAAATATATGTGTGGGACTATTACTTACTTTGCTTTAGAGATGAATTTATAAGTATCATTCCAGTAAGCCAGGAGATCTGTTGCCTCTTCATCATATACCCGGATGTTATGATACTCAAAGACTCCTGGGAAGAAGTTATCTATCTCTCGAGTGACATTCAAGATATACCGCACTCTATAAGGAAACCAAAGGAGAATATGTGTTGTATAGCTCAGGGTTAATCCAATCCCCAGTATTTTCTTATTTAAAACTAGTATGCTGGAATTAAATACAAAAATAAAGAGGAAGACTAGAAAACTAAGAGGCTATATTTATTTAGTAGAGAATTTATATAACAGGATCCTGGGCACCATGGAGTTATTAAGTAACAAGCTATCTGCCAGGTTCAACATCTAAATTTCATTTTATGTCTGACTACATAATCTTGTTTTGATAGTCATTTGAAAATACATGTATGTCTTGTATTTTACTCCAAAGAATCAACCTAATGCCCATAATCTGATAAATTCTTTCTGTCACTAAAATTACCAGCAATGTAATTTGTTCTCAGGAAGTCACTTGTATAAAATCAGACTATTGACTTGTACCCTGAGAAAAAAACAGAAAAGGAAAGTTTTCCCCTTATTTTCCTCAATCTCAATGCCAGATTGTTAGGCTTTCCTCTATTACTCTTTCTAAACTACATGAAAGGCAAATGAGGCCAGGGCTGGGAGGGTCAAAGAAAAGTTGGACCTCAGACTCGCTTAACTCCATCTGGCTACATTCCTGGCTGCTATAGCAGCAATGTGTCTTGACGGTTCTCCCAAACTGAGATTTTTGCAGAAAAGGGTTTTTCCATTACAAATTTTTTCTCTTGCTCACTACACAATCTCAATAAATGTTAAATTTAGCAAGTGTTACCTTTTCTTAATGTGGTGGGACACAGACATTATTAGAGTTTACTCAATACAATACAGATTTACTCATTCTCTCTGAGAAGTTCTTTCTTTCTTAGAATCCAGTGAGGGGTTATTCTATAAACCCAATATCTGAAGTCAATCAAATGACTGCAGAAAGCCATAGCTAACCAACTCTGCGGTTAGGGTCAAGTGGCCAAAATTTTTCTGGGACAAAAATCTTTTTTTAACTGAGCATCAAAACCCATTACTATAAAGTTTTTTTTTCCCTCCAGTTTAAAAATTAAACACATTGGCTAGGCGTGGTGACTTACACCTGTAATCCTAGTACTCTGGGAGGCTGAGGTGGGTGGACTGCCTGAGCTCACAGGTTCAAGACCAGCCTGAGCAAGAGCAAGACCCCAATTCTAAAAAATAGCTGGGCATTGTGGCAGGTGCCTGTAGTCCTAGCTACTTGGGAGGCTGAGGCAAAGAGGATCTCCTGAGCCCAAGAGTTTGAGGTTGCTGTGAGCTGTGATGCTACAGCACTCTACTAAGGGCAACAAAGTAAGAGTCTGTCTCAAAAAAAAAAGAGAGAGAAGTAGAGATGAATGGGTTTCATCCCTAGCTGGGATTATATTGTGAACCCAGAGTGTATGTACATGTGATATGATTCCAATGCATCTGACAAGCATCACTATATCAAATCTTTAGATTTCACATTCAATACTATATCTAGGTTTCCCAAAATGACAGAATTTTAAAATCTTGACTGATGACTTAGGAGGAGGCTATCAAAAACTCTGTCTCACTCCTGAAGACATTTTAAGTAGATACAATGTTATTATTCTGGTTGAATCAAGAATACCTTGGCTGGACATGGTCACTTATGAATGTAATCCCAGCACTTGGCAGGCTGAGGCAGGTGGATTGCCTGAGTTCACAGGTTTGAGATCAGCCTGAGCCAGCTATACACAAGACTAAGATGGAGTCTCTGCCTTCAAGAACTCTAAACTAAATTTTACCAACTTAAAATTTCCAAGTTCTCTGTAATCCTAGCACTCTGAGAGGCTGAGGTAGGCAGACTGCCTGAGCTCAGGAGTTCAAGAGCAAGACCTTATCTCTAAAAATAGCCAGGCATTGTGGCAGGTGCCTGTAGTCCCAGGTACTTAGGAGTCTGAGGCAAGAGGATCACTTGAGCCCAAGAGTTTGAGGTTGCTGTGAGCTATAACGCCACAGTACTCAAACCCAGAGAGACTGAGTGAGAGTCTATCTCAATAAAAGAAAAAAAATTTTGGCTCAGTGCCTGTAGTGAGACTATCTCAAAAATTTCCCCCCTGGAATTCTCTGTGTAATCATTTTGGCTTAAATACAGTTACAAGTTCGTATCAGCAACTAGAAAATATCTTTCTTCTAGGGGAAAAAGTCAGGAGTATTTATCTACTAATGGTAAAGATAACCAGAAGCTGACTTGTACTTGAGAAAACAGGCAGCCAGCAACCAGTCAGGTAGCCAACACTACCTGTATGTCAGCTGGCCTTATCCACAATGAAGAGTTAGCATGGCAAATTTTAGACATGATGTTCTCTTCTTTTACTGGGATAACCTGACTTCCTAAGGTGAAGTTCAATGAGAAATTTAGTAGGCACCAACTAAGGGAAGAATGGCAGCTTTTTGCTTGCTGAATGCTCATTGTAGTTTCAATTGCTACAATCAAATTCAATAACCATGCTGCTTAGGAATAATTCTTTTAATATAAGGTAGGTCTTATTGTTCATTTCAGAAGTTTATCCATTTTACATTCATAACCTACTTAGTCTTCAAATAGATTACTATAAGAGGATAGGGAGTCTTAAATATTTGTAGATCCCTAGAACCTACTGTGTTTCCCTGAAAATAAGACCTACCCCCAAAATAAGCCCTAGCAGGATTGCTATACATTTGTTAAATATAAGCCCTACCCCGATAATAAGACCTAGTGATGGGTGTGGCTCTGATATATCTGCATAGCCATGCCATGCATTTCCGAGTGGAGCAGTAAGGAAGACTGGAATACCTTTTATCTGCCACAGCTCCTTTCTCCGAGCTGTTTGCACTTGCACGGGTGTGCCGGTGTGCGTGTGGTAACCACGGTCGCAGGCATCCTATTGCGCACGTGCAGACAGCTACAGGAAAGGAGTTCACGCATCACTAGCACCAGTCCCACCAACAAGGTTGGCTCCCCTGTCAGGTTCCAGAAGAAGATGACTTAGCTATATTTGAATACGTAGATTGTTGTATTAATAAAAATAAGACATCCCCTGAAAATAAGCCCTAGTGTGTCTTCTTGAGAAAAAATAAATATAAGACAGTGTCTTATTTTTGGGGAAACACAGTGGCACTGTGCTTGTCCCTCAGAAGATTCTTAATAAATATTGAATGAACAGCTCTGTGAACCCAACATACATAGTTCTGCATATTCCAACATAAAAATAGGAACCAAAAACTATATTTAATTTTACACAACACCAAAGATTTTCAGATTTGTTTTTGAAAGCCTTTCCATTAGAAACCTGATCTTTCTGGGAGGTAGGGGTAGAAACAGTGGGAGAATACCTGTTTCTCTTTTTCTTTATCTCCTCCCCACCCCAGACAGGGTCTCATTCTGTTGCCCAGGCTGGACTCCTCCTGCCTCAGTCTCTTGAGTAAGCTGAAAATATGGGTGCACACAATCAAGCCTAGTTAATTTTTAAAAACTTTTTGTAGAGATAGGTGTCTAGTCATATTGCCCAGCTTGGTCTCAAACTCTTGGCCTCAAGCAAGCATTTCACCTTAGTCTCCAAAGCGCTGGGATTAAAGGTGTGAGCCACCATACCTAGCTCTGCTTCTATTTTTTTTTAATATTAAATCTAATCAGAATCAATTGGAAGAAACCCTTAAGATTAAAGTTACAGGTTTGGCACCTGTAGCTCAGCAGCTAGGGTGCCAGCCACATACACTGGGGTTGGCAGATTCGAACCGGCTTGGGCCTGCCAAACAATGATAATTACAACAACAAAGAATAACCAGGTGTTGTGTCAGGTGCCTGTAGTCCCAGCAACTTGGGAGGCTGAGACAAGAGTATTGCTTAAGTTTATAGAGTTGCTATGAGCTATGATGCCACAGCACTCTACTGAGGGCGACAAAGTGAGACTGCCTCAAAAAAAAAAAAAAAGAAATATTAAAGTTACCCACTGATACCTATTTGTTGAGGGAAAATGTAAAGATAACACAGAGACTTCTGTCTCATGGAGGTCTCAACAACTGCTCTGTGTGCTTACCCTCGGTTCTGTAAGTCCTCCAAGTTGGAGGCATTCCACTCTGAGCCCTAGGAGCCAAAAAGACAAGGACAAAGTTAGGGGTTATTAGCAAATCAACCAAAAACTACACTTGAAAAGGAGTCCTGTGAGGGAAGAAGCAGAGTTTTTAAAAATAAGGCTAAAAACATCAACTCAGTGGATTCCAAGTGCCAGACACTTCTATGTCATCACATTCAGTTTTCATAATTGATAGAGAAAGTTATCTTCATCTTTACAGATAAAAAACCCAACTCTTAGAGAAATTAAGTAATTCTTGCTCAGCATCAAAGTAGGAAAAGTGATCACCATGCAATATAATTTAGATGTCTTCTTCAAATCTTGCTCATAGTAATCTGGTATTTTTCTCAATAGCATGTATCACAATTAATACTTATATATTTATTTATGTGCTTATTTCTAATTATTTCCTCCACTATCATATAAGCTCCTTGAGGGCAGGAACCTGGTCTCTTGTTTTCTATAGAAATCCACCTTCCAAAGTATCTGGCAAGTGCTCAATAAACATCTGTTGAATGAACAAAGAAGCATTATTATGCCTTAAACCTAGATCTGATTCCCAAACCCATACTCTTTCTAGTGTGTTAAGTTGTATCTAAGTAGTGGGGGTGGGGGGGGAGGAGAAGGGAAGGAAAGCATGAAATGTAAAATTTTAATAAATGGCAAATTTTGTGAGGGTTCTATATATTACCTGAAAGACACATTAGTTGTTAATATTTTGCCACATTTGCTTTCTCTCCCTCTTTCCTTTTTCTTCCAGTACATGCCACATGTTTCTTCCCTTAACCGTTTGAAAGCAATTTGACCATCATGACACTTCAACAGTTGAGCATATATCCTCTGAGAACATTTTCTTACATAATACCATTATCACACCTATAACATTAGTAATTTAATATACTATCTATATTTGAATTTCCACAGACGTCCCTCAAATATCCTTTACAGTCACTCAATCAAGGATTATTCTTTGCATTTATTTGGCATTTCACTATTCTCTATCCTTTAATCTAGATATAGCCCATTTCTACTTTGGGGGAGGGGGAGTCCTTTCACAATATTGACATTTTTGTAGACTCAGGTTTGTGATCCTGGAGAACTCCTCACACTGTGGATTTGCTGGATTATATTCAAGTCAAACATTTTTTGGCAAGAATATTACAATGATGAGGCTCGGCATGGTGGCTCACGCCTGTATTCCTAGCACTCTGGGAGGCTGGCAGGAAGCCCTTGAGCTCAGGAGTTCACGACCAGTCTGAGCAAAGCAAGACCCCATTGCTCCTAAAAATGGAAAAAATTATTTGAGTGTCTGTAGTCTCAGCTACTCAGGATGCTGAGGCAGGAAGATTACTTCAGCCCAGGAGTTTGAGGTTGCTATGAGCTAGGATGAGGCCATAATACTATAGCCTAGGTAACAGAGCAAGACTGTCTCCAAAAAAAAAAAAAAAAAAAACAATATATATATATATATGTATATGTATATATATAGCAAGGATGGTGCTGGTATGTCATATATATATATATGCTATATATACATAGCAAGGATGGTGCTGGTATGTCCTATTGCATCAAACCAGGAGGCACATGTCTGTCCCATTATCTATCATAGTAAGTTTGAATTCTTTGTCAAGGTACCTTTGTGTCTGCCACATCCCTCTATTGTAAAGGCTCCTTTAGAATTAATTAGTAATGTATGAATATTAGTAATCTTTGAAGCCACGTGAACATCCTGTCTCATAGTTACTTTACCTTGTGGTTTCAGCATCAATTGCTAATCTTGTGTATTAAAGACCGT